GGAAAGAGAGAATTCTTCCCCGCCCCCTCTAGATGTCTACAAAGAGACCGGTCAAGTGATTGACGTTTCTGGATTCTAATTGACACCACGGTTACCCGAACGCTGTTAAAGGGGAGAGAGCTGGTCGCTACTCCGACCAGCGCCGTCCTTTGGGAGCTGTTCTTTGGTAGCACTATCGACCAGCCGTCCTCTAAAGGTTCAAAGGCATCGGTCCCCTCTGCACAACGGGTCTCGAGCGATACTGAATCGAATCCATTAATAAATTCATAAGGTATTATATTATGCATGGTATTAAAAAGGCAAAACAAGGTTCATTTGGAGTCATATAAAATAATTCTTATAAATTTTTGCTTCATAATTACACGACAGGAATGAAAAGAAATATTAAGAATTAAAACAATTAATAAACTATGAAGAAATATATACAGATAAGTACATAAATAATATATATATATGTATATCAAGTAAAAATAAGCAAATATGTATGAACGGAAGAAAATAAGCATACAGATAAAACATAAAGGGAGTTTTAATACTACCAGATTAAAAGTAAACTGAAAAATACAAAAAAAAAGTAAAAATTAGATGTATATAAAAATATATAACTATGAATAATATATGAGATTATTAGAATTAAAAAAAGGGAATGAATTAAACAAATAACTTTGAAATCAAAATGTAAATCATATCAAAAGAAAACAGATAAAAAGAAATTTTATTATTAGAAAGTATTTGAGGTAATTCAATTAATCTGCTGATAAAAATAAATTCAAGGAATTTGCAAAGTATGAAGACACGTCTCTAACATAAAAATACATAAAAACAAATGAATTTTATTATTATTATTATGATACTGAAAAAAAAATCGTAATTGTAAGCTGTTGTAGCTCTAAAAAAGAACTGTGCGTTAAAAAATAATTTGGTCTTTTCGTTAGAATGAGATTAAATATTTTAATCACTTATGCTGCATAGAAAATAACAAGCAAACAAAAAAAAAAAACCCGAATAACTCTGAAAAATTGTTTTTTTTAACTTGGATATAATTCAGATAAAAACAATAGTTTTTTAATAACACATGTAAGCACTCATGGTGTTTTGCAAAATGTTCTCTGGATTCAACACACACACACACACAAAAATAAACTGACGGCATTTTACACTTGATATCATTTCTTCTCTTTATTTAGCTTTAAAAAAGACAGCAGAATATTGTTGTCTTTTAATAAAGTTTGTGAATAGTGAAAGGTTACTACTCGTGGAATGGGTATTATTTTTCGCCAATAAATAAAATTTTAAATTATAATGAAAAGTATTCCTTAAATCATAAAAAGTGCAAGGGGTTCGGGATTAAAGTATTTATATAAGTTATGGATTATTATTACGGAAGTACCAATGTTATAAACTGTTCACATCCGTGGATTGGAAACCCCTTCGAGATTTCTTGGGTCTAGTCTGATTGGCCGCCGACAGGCAGAGTCGGATTGGCAGACGACAAACTTATTACACTGACTTCATTAGTAAAGATGTGGACGACACAGCAAAATGTGCAGTACGCATTTTGGTCAACGGAATTTAAATCAGTCACGCGTGTACAGCACCGTGTTCAAACAGAATGGAATGTCGTTACTGGTTTGTCTCATAGATTTATCATGACTCCTACGAAATGAATCATGCACTTGATCAAAAGTGTCTTCTATCACGAAAACTTAAGGATACTTGCCAGTCTGAGAAAGCAAAGCTCCCGTCTCTTATAAAGTTCGTTCCCATTGGTGTTCAGATTTTGAAGATCGTTTGAAGTATGGAAGATCCACATTCCATTCTGTTAGAAAAAGTTGTTGTACACGCGTGGCTGATTTAAATTTCGTTAACCAAAGTACGCACTGCACCTTTAACTGTGGCACCCACATCTTGACTAATGAAGTCAGTGTTACAAGGTTGTCGTCTGTGATAGCCGAGTAATGCGAGCACGTGCGGCCGATCGGACTAAACTAAAAAATCTGGAAGGATCTTCCAATCCCCGGATGAACAGTTTATTACATTTTGATGGGTAGTTCCATAATAATAAGCCTTAACTTTTGGATACTTTAAGCGGACACCTAAACTTACTATAATATTACTTTTTGTATACTATTTCATACTTATCTGAAACTAAACTAAATTAAACTCAGTAGCGCAACAGCTCATGAGGGCCATGGCCTACTGTGCCGGTGTTTTCATGACCTTGGGTGCTGGGGTGCATGAGCAAATGTTTCGGTCAAATGGTCAGTCTGACTGATTGATTGATTGATTGAAAATTTACGTCGCTCAGCTACAGGAGGGCTTTTGGCGACGGACCACGTAATTTTGAACCATGGTCAAGTGACAGAAAAGCAGAAAATATTTTTGGATATATATTTAAATATATATATCCTGCTTAAATATTTTCGGAAAATCTGTTATTGCTGAAATGTTGCGTATTAAAAACGTCTTGATATATCTCATCTATATTTCTTCTATCAGAGAAAAATATTATCCTAACAAGGAATATATACTTATACTTTAGAAATAAACACACAGTATATTGTAGTTATAATGCAACGCAAAAAAAAGAAAGAAAACTTTGTTTTGTTAAAATTTTAAGTAAAATACAAAATATTAATGAATGAAATGTTTTTTTTATCGTAAAATACTTCACTAAAATGAATATAAGTATTCCAAATAGCACTTTTCTTCTTGCGTAGTTTATTTTCAGTTTGAATCGCACTACATGTCCGGGTTACAAGAAGATATTGCTACTAAAATTCGCTTGCACACATACAAACACACGTGCGTAATAAGGTGTACTTTTTTTTCATTTTTTTGATTGTTATATTCTGGAAAAGTTGTCTTTCGATAAGATAGGTAAGAAATAAAATAAGATAAAATGAAGGAATATCTTCCCTCTGTTCAACATCGTTTTGAAAAATGGAAACATTTTGCTATTTTTGTTAACGCTTTATAATCATTTAACTTACCAATATAGTAAGGTTATTGTTTTAATTGTGAAGTTTGGAATATATATATATATATGAGGCATGAGAAAAAAAACTGTGCGTGTACTTATGTACGCACGAAAGAAGTTATACTTCTTTGGCGTAACAAGATTTAAATCTTTCTAAGAATATTTCGCAGGACAAGCTGGGACAAAGACAAAAGGCGGTCAGGAGCAGAGTTGAACGGTACTAACCTTCAGTCAATCGGACCAGCCAAACCTGAGATAATCACGATTTAAATAAATTCAAACACCCCCGCACAGGGACAATAGGACCAATAACATGGGGGGTTTCAGACTGTATCTGGAGATGAAGTGAACCGAATGTGACATCTGAGACCTCATGTTAAATGTCTGGGTGGGAAGAATCGTTCCTGAGAAAATTAAGACATCCACCTGAAGCCCCGAGTTATGGTCATTTTAAAATAATTAAAACATTTAAAACAATTAAATAAAAATAAAGGGGCAACTCAAAACTGGGTGGTTTGAGCAAAACACGAGCGGGAAACCATTAGGAATCAGTTCGGTCTGGTTGCAAATAGGGCGGCGCTGCTCGGAAAGAAAACGCAATTCCTCCCCAGGGGAACAACTATTACGTAAATGGTCACGCATCCCAACGATACACAGAGTAGAGGGATCCCAAAGTTTTATCCTTCTTTTTAAACTTACGTCATCAAAAATCGAACCCCATAAGAAAAAAATGGGATTCTTTTAAATCAAACTTCCACCCCCTTTAAACCTATATCTAAAATGAATTTAAAAAAATGAAACAGATCAACAGGAAAACCTATTGTCCCAGTTTCTTTTAAAATCTCAAAATCCTCGGAACTATGCGGGATTTCAAAAAATTATAACTTTAAAATAATTTAAAAATGTTAAATATGGGTAAAAAAAAGGTTTGGGCCTGAAAAAAAATATCTAGGATGCTCGGGGAACAATTAATCAGCCGGTGAGGTCGACCAAATGGCATAGGATTCGGAGTTATTTTTGAGGGAAAACCCCTTAGGGGAGGGGCCAATTCCACGTAAAGCTCGCGCTAATACGAAAATGTGGCGGACCTCAAAAAATCAAATTCCAAACTCAACTCCTTGGGGGGTGAAATTCTTTCCAGTCCCCATAGGATTAACATGGGGCATGATATTTTTAGTTCGTAAGCCCTCCCATGCCTACAATGAATGAAGCAGAAATGATGACTGGATGGGTCTTGGCGAGTGGAACACTTGGTTCAAATCTCAAGTCCGAGACTCGAACAGGAGCTAAGATATTGTGAATTTAAACAAATTTTAAGACAATTAAAACTATGGAAGCAATAGCCCTATGAACACGAAATTATAATAACTGGAAGAGCAGATAGAGAGAAATCGAATGAGCCAGGTCCTAAGGGACTGTGAGGCTCGGGTGTAGAGATATTGGCCAAAAGGCTGTAGAGGGGGGGATGCGTCCCAACACATATGGTTTATAACAATAGTTATTATGATCCCCCAAACATCAGTCCCATAGTACCAAAAAAGTGGCGTGTTAAAATATTAGACAACGGTGTGCGCGCGCATCGGTGTCGTGATGGTATACGCGCTCATCCGTGAATGTGTGCCCACGCATCGTAAAAATTTATCCTCATCCTTTTTCCCTAACGTCCAAAAAGAAGAATAACTTCAAAAATAAATATACGAATACAAAAGGCTCTTACAATTTGCTACAATGTAATAAATGTGTTTATGTTCATTGTAATGCGTTCGTAGTGCATACATCTATAATCATATACTTGCAATTGTTATTTAAATAGGTAAACTGATATTTATTCTTATGTTTTATGTACATGAAACACTATTTAAAGATTAATTTACTAATTTTTTTAATTTCCTGTAAGTATGTTTGATTTAATACACAAAGTGTTCAAACAAATGCATCAGAGAAGCTCGTAGGTGAAGGATGATCTCTCCCTACTAGTAGTGACGTCAGAGATCAGCGCAAAGCAAAGGTTTGCAGACACGGGGTGTATAGCTAAGTGGTAAGTATTCGACTACAGATTGAGAGGTCTCCGTTTCAAACCCGGGTTTCCCCTTCTTCAAGGAAGTGAAGAGAAATATTTTCCTGAGAATTTTGAAGGCGGCAATGATGTGTCTCGTTTTGTATACTTCTAGACAAAGCAATTTCACATCAGTGACGGTGTGCGCATGCATCGTAAAATTTTACCCTCATCCTATTTCTCAAACACCTCAAAGGAAGTATAACTTCAAAAATTACAATTCGTAAATTGAAAATGCTTGTTACTTGCACAAAAATCTAAGAAAAAGTTTCTTTTCTTTCTAAAATTAGCTCTATTTCGTAAATTTTTTCATATATACTTTATTACCTTTAATAAACAAACCGTAGGAAAACAAATGGTAGGAACAAATGAATAGGAAACATATCTTTCATTTACCTTTTTTATTGAAAATAACGCTCTTTGAGTTTAAAAAGCAAACAAAAAGAAATAAATAAAACTAAATGTAATAAAATTAATAAAATCATCACTAGAAAGGTTTTCGAGGGACGGATTCGTGTTTAGCAATTCATAACCTTTAATAAACAAACCTTAATAAATGAATAGGAAATATATCTTTAATTTCCTTTTTTGTTGAAAATAACACTCTTTGAGTTTAAAAAAAGCAAACAAAAAGAAATAAATAAAAAATTAGATGTAATAAAATTAATAAAATCATCACTAGAAAGGTTTTCGAGGGAAAGCAAGTCATAACCTTAATAAACAAACCGTAATAAATGAATAGGAAATATATCTTTCATTTCCCTTTTTTATTGAAAATAACGCTCTTTGAGTTTTAAAAAAGCAAACAAAAAGAAATAAATAAAAAATTAAATGTAATAAAATTAATAAAAAGTCATCACTAGAAAGGGGTTTTCGAGGGACGGATTCGTGTTTAGAAATTCATGCGTGGTTTTACTCTAAATGTTCCCTCCAAAAAGATGTCTTTAGCCTTTCCTTTATCAAGTACGAGATGAGACGTCACTACTCTCCAACTACAAATGTGTAAGTTTTAGTGAAGTAGCCGAAAAAAAATGTGGCCTCTTAAATAATATTTATGTGAAAAACTTTTATATATATTCCTGAATAGTATAATTTATTTATAAGTATCATTATAGTTGTGCTATAAATTAAGAAAGTCATATCATCCCGATATAAACAAAGCTTTCATTCTTAAAAAAGATTGACATTCTTAAAAATTAATCTGCATTTTGATGGCCGAAAGCAAATATCCTATTGTTGTGAACTGCATTTGTCAAAAAATGCAAATTTGTATGAGGGCATAATTTTATTTAACTGTTATATGTAATTAAGTAAAAACCAATTTTCTTTAACGTTTTAACTACCATGCCCCAGATTATCTCGGGCATGGCACTAGTGTTATAAAATGTCACACCCGAGTATTATACGGGATAATATATATTTTTTTTGGGTGCATCTTATTGTCATACCCGAATACATATCGGGAGAAGCTTTTGGCTTCATCTCCTTGTCAAATCCGAATTTATATCGGGAAAAGTTAATTAATAGATGGTGTTTGATCAGCAGTATTCAAGATACTTCCATCATCAACCTTCAAAATAAAAAAAAATGAAGATATACCCAAGCCAAGCATTGTTTTTGACTAAAACCTATGGCTGGTGTAGATTGCTGTGATCAGGATAGGACCCTTTCATCCGACAATCCGAAAACATCAGAAAAAACTACTATAAAAAGATATTTTTACATTTAAAAGAAAAGGTACTCTAGATCTCTCTATCGTTTGCTCTATAAAAGTGTAGTTGGGAAACGTATTACGTTTTTTAGAATTTCGAATCCACGTTGTAGAAGAGCTTTTACATAAATATTATGATACAGCTGCAGGACAAAAGATTCCTTTCAGACCACTTACAGTAGATAACCCGGCACGTCTTAATTCATGGCATTTTATATCCCATATTCTTCCTACTCTTGCGAAAAGTGAGCCTACAAAATAGTGCAAAGTTTGTTGTTCAAAAAAGGATGGAAATTGAAAAAAAAAAGATAAGGTAGGAAAGACGATTGAAGCCCAGTGGCTGAGTGGTTAGTGCATCGCGCTTACACACCACAGGTCTGAAATTCAAGCCAGGGCTGGGCAAGGTTGATTCAGTCTTTCATCCCTCCAGTGGGTCGCTAAATGAGTACCAAGCTTGCTTGGGAACTTAACAATGGGGGTTTCACGTAAACTGACCACCTGACCGGAACATCTATTCAGGCATCTCAGGGCCCAAGGTCGTGTATACTAAGTTGGGTACAGTAGGCCTTGGCTCTCATGGGCTGTTGCGCCACTGAGTTAAGTTAAGGAAAGACGATTGTGGTGTAATGGTTGTGGAGTTGGTTTGTGCTTGGAGAAGTGTTTCCAGTTATACCCACAAAAATGAATTACGGAACTACATATATATAAGTATTCATTTATTTATATATTATAATTTTTTTTAGAAATAATGCTTCACTAGAACTTTACCACTGCCACATGCAGTTGGCAGCCACCTCGAGCAAATAGGCAGTTACGCCTAAACTTTAAAAAGTTTTAAGTATGTAATTTAAAATATCAGTTTTCAACGACTAAGTATATATTTTATTTTGTACTAAACATTTGATTTTTGCAATAAAAAAAACAAAAAAATTGAAAACTTATGTAGCCGAATCACCAGAATAATTTGACAGTTCATGAATTATAATAAAGCCAAACACTTTCCTTGTGACATAGCCATCTGTCGATAGCTGCCGGCGTGGGGGTTCGCGCGTAAGTTAGAGGTGTGGGATTATCCGGAAGGATGAGACATTCTATAATTTTTAATACAACTTTTATTAAATTCAACTTAAATTACTTATATAACGAACAAACTTATAATTAAGTGAGAATAGAAGCCAAAGTATGCCGATTTATTTAAGTCAGATCGCACAACTAGGTCACTTATCAAAATACAACTAATTATCTACCTAATCTCGCTTCAATATTAGGCTTTATCGTTCAGAATGTGAAATCCTCCTACCTTGGTTGAAGACTCAACAATACTGATACTTTGCAGGTAGACTGATGTACTCGTGTGCAATTGTTCCTCCTTGTAATTGTGCTTGAGGGTGGAGCGTCTCCGTGATTCTTCCCGAGTAGGCCGTCTAAACACAATTCCAACTGTTCCACGCTAAGCTTTCTCTAAGATTGCCATTCTTTCTCACTAAACATTCTATCCTTTTAAAGGTTATCTTATTTGCATTGTTGCTTCGTTTTTCCTCTTGGAATTGGGTTGGAAACGTTTTGCCATTAATCGTGGCCGTCAAAGAATGTAGGAGTTATGTTAAAAGAACGCGAGAGATGTCACAACCCTCCAAGAAGAAAACGTGATTTATTTAAAGGGTTCTCGTGCGCCAATAGGAGTGCGATGCCCTAAACCACATTTCTGAATCTCCTCGCTTTCTAAGTTTTATTTAAATTTTAACCTTTAATCCTCATTTTAACTTCTATAATTTCCAATATTTAACTTGACTGTAATTTTCATTATTCATCTTAGAATTAAATTTAATATTCAACTTAATTTTAAATTTAAACTCGTGACAGATACACAATAAATTTTACTCCATTAACTAGGCCAAAATTAACAATTGTTGTTTTATGTGGTATATTCTCACTTTTTACATATATATTTAACTCTATATTTAACGCTACTTAAATATTGATGAACTTAAACCTTCTACGTGAATTTTTCCTGGATGCGCAGACACAAACGCTTGCTTCAGGATACACACATTCATTTTGGAGCACTGGGAGACGGGCTCCACTGCTCCGAGGATTGAGGCTACATCGGCTACTTGGGCTTTTCTACTTTCAGGGTCTGTCACCCTGAAATAAAAACTCTTTAAGTTACTTTGTCAAATCTATATTTACATAATACCAATAAGTTTCACAATTTTTATGCGTATATCATTTGTAAATCACAATAAACTTTCATTTCCATCCACATGCAAGTTCCATAAAACTTCCAATGAGCCGCGCAATATTTATATATTATTATTAGTGCCCTGACTACCGCCGCGTTTCCCTGAACCAGATGCACCTTAATACGGAACAATAATACAACAACATATATATACATACATACATATTATACAATTACAAACATTTTCAATAAACCATTTAAAACAAATAACCAAAGGAATTGTCGCATCTCACGAAGTCATACATCAGAAGTAAACAAATGCATAGTACAATTGTTTTCTGCAATACCAGAAAAATTTTACAAGTCAAAAAGTTCAAAAAAATATACACTCATTGTATTGTCAACTTTTGCTTGGATTATAACTTTAAACACCACTTGAGACTTCCTTTTTTGCAATAATTCTTCTGACCACTTGTTGGAAAGATCATAAAAAAATGAAACAATACAACCTGATTTTTATTTTTAGTCCTGACACATGACGTCCAATGATGAGGTGCTACCACTGTTCTTTCCTCTTCTCATTCCTTGACTGCACTGGAATTCTTTATGTTGCCTGCTGTAGGGCTTGTAGTCTCCTTGTCGGCTTTTCCTTGCTTGTCTTGTTGTTTCCTTGGCCGGTCGGGACTCCTGATCCTTTCTCTGGCGTGGGCGCAGGTCATATGTCCTATCTTGAACTCCAGTTGTTTCCTTGGCCGGTCGGGACTCTGATCCTTTTCTCTTGCGTGGGCGCAGGTCATATGTCCTATCTTGAACTCCAGTTGTCTCCGTCTTTTCTTCTTCCTACTTATATAAATAGTACTGGATGACAATGGTCTTTTGTTAATATTGGGTCCCTTTCTCTGCCACTTTCTCTGTGGTCCACTTGCCCCCGATCCATACGACTTTTTAATTCCTTTATCTAGCCTTTCTCTTTTATTTCTTCTTTCATTTGTAAGTGAGCTAGGAAGCGATCTGACAAGAGTGATCTGCGCTTATCGGCCTATCGTTTGTTTTCTTAGATTATTTTTGTTGGAGATTTATCCTTTATTCCTCTAACTCACGTTTCACCGCAGATCTTTTTTCCCATGAGTGTTGGCTCATTTT